CAGATCTGCACGTTTCCCCCCCCCCCCAATAGCTAGCAATCCAAAGCAGTCCAGTGGAGCCTGAGTGGTGGGTGTTGCCTTTTGACACACTTCCGGTGATGTCAGGGGGTGTGGCATATGCAAATAAGTTATGCTAATAAGTTATGCTAATGAGCTCCTGCGCCTCTTTTTCTACGAAATGACCCCTGATTTCATATATAGAAAATATTGCAGTGAGAGCAGGATAATACATACTATATGCAGTACTACAGGCCACAGCCCATTCCATTTATTAAAGAATCTCCTTGAGCCAACAATTCTGTTTTATATAGCTTACAGTGTCAGCTCGCTGCCATAGCGGCTGGCACGGAGGGGGGAACTGCTTGGAATGTTTAGTTTCATTTCTCTTGCTGTCTTGGTGATGCTCCCTTATCTATTTGTTTTATGTGCCTGACCTTGAGTGCCTAGCTGTAACACCATCTCTGGGAAAGCGGGACCTTTACAATCTAGCGGACCCTTGCTATTGCCCTGATTGGCTCTATGTCACCCGGTGACCCTCTCTGAACATTGTATATCCGTTCACCCCGCGCTTTTTGCTTTAGTCTTAACACAGAACATGAAGTAGAGATGCTCTGCCAATACTGGTCCTGGTCAAGCTTGTAAAGGCGAAACAGCTTTCCGACTACAAAAAAGAACGCCTGCAATGGATGTTCCGACCAGGCGGTGGCAGTGTGGCGATTGACATACGGGTCCTGAGGCCTGGCCAGCAAGCAGCCGTGCGGAAAATGACGGAGCCAGCCAGAAGACGTCTACACCAGGCAGTGACGGCGCATGCAATTAAAGTGAATATATGTTGTCGTCCCTATCCCCTACGAACATTGTTAGTCCCTTGTCTATATATGGAGTAACTGTACATTGCTTTGAGCCCACTGGGGAAAGCGATTAATAAATGGAAAGTATTATTATTATTACTGTATCGATAAACTTTCCTTCTGAAGAAGCGAGTTGTCGGTTCTGATTGTTGCAGGAGTCTGACATACGGAATGACAGAGGCGTGAGAGCCTTCTTGACCTTCTCAGGCAGGCCACTCCACAAGACGGGGGCCACAATACTGACCTGTGTTACAGGATCATTGTACTTAGATAAAAACGAAGAAAAAGGGTATTGCATTAAAAAAAGGCATTATGGCTGCGGTCACACGGAGCATTAGCCACGCTACAGAGACGGAAGATAGGCGGATTTTCTGGGCACGATCACACCACAACATCTGGGAAGTGTAGAGCTCCCGTGGCTAACCCAAGGCTTCCCGCTGAAAATGGGGCGTAAAAATCTAGTACCTCCGAGGTACTAGTTTCCGGAAACCGCGGGGCAAGGGCGGGCGTCTGATCACGTTTCCGGTGGTAGCTCGTGGCATCTGGCGCCCATCCATGTCCCGTCGCGAAAAGGTGTTTTTCCCCCCCAAGTCTCCACGGGATGCGCACAAGCACCCAACGGCGCATGCGCACACTTCGGGTTTGTTTTTTTTTTAAAAAAAACAACAACCCCGTTTGCCACGGCAGCGGCGCCTAGACATTATTGCTGTGATCGCGCCGCTTCTTTGGCGCACCGCAGGATTGTTGTGTGATCGGCACCTCCCCCCGAACAATGGGACGTGTCATCCGGTGGCCGCGCGTTAGTTTGCTCCGGGGCAAACAGCCACGCTCCCCTCCCCGCATTTTCCAGCCCGTGTGACCAGGGCCTATAATTCTTTTGCAATTAGCCTTTGTTTTGACTGAATTTCTTTGCTAAACATAAAACCACAATATGACTACTTACCAGCAGGGCAGTTTTTGCAGCAAATCCCAGAATGGTAATATTCTCCATCACCACAACTGGATTGCAATGGTGGAGACTCCACCTAAAAATAAAACATACAGAGATGGGCTTTAAGTGAATGCAACCCCCATAGTCAATGTACTACCTAATCTTAGTATGAGCACTTTGCATTGTCTTGGTTTCAAATTAACATAAGCCTTAAATGGTGTTCACAGGCCAACTTAACATTTACTTATAGTACTAGAAAAATATTTTTCCCATCCCTGTTCAAACACGGAACAAACCAGGTTTTAAGTAATCTTTCACATATATTAAATGCATAATGCAGAACTCCTACTGAGAGGCTCAGAGCATCATCCTAAGCAGAAAGGTTAGGACACAGGTCCTCAACGTGGTGCCCACGGCACCCAACACCTACTCTGCTACCCACCCAAGAGTTTTTAGAAAGTGGGAGGGACCTTTGACAAGCAAGGCTTCTTATGGGCCACTGGAGACTTGATTTACAAGGTAAGCATGAGCAATGTTCCCTCTGAGCTGTGGAGTCTTGTGAGCAAAAATTCTACTTTGTGAGCTACTGGCATTCAAGTTGTGAGCGAGCGATTAGGCTACTGCATAAATCAGTTTGCTCTGGAGCCATCCTTCCTGAGCCTAGGCAAAAATGTGTGAGCCAGAGGCTAAAAAACTGTGAGCTAGCTCGCACTAACTCAGCTTAGAGGGAACACTGAGCATGAGCATAGTCAGCTCTCAATGGCTTCATACATTTGGTACTATTTGTCGGTATTATACAGTTTGAAAATTACCATAGATGCAGAGTGTTTATTACATCAGCTACTGTTTCTTTGGTAGATAGATGTACTTGTATGGGGTACCATATACATACAATGTCATTCTGACCACCTCTAGATAGATTTTGTTTCAGAGTATCTGAGATTTTCTCAATTGTATAAAGGTTCCATAGCTTTTTGTACCAGAGGTTTACATTTAGCCTACTCATGGATTTCCATGTGGCTGCTAATGTGGTTTTGGCTGCAAACAGTAATAGAGAGATTCTTTTCCTTTGTGTATTAGATAGAGCATTTTCCCTGAGATTTAAAAGCAGAGCTTCCAGGGATTTGTCTATCTTGATTTTGGTTATGATTTTTTAAAATGTTGCTTTGGCAGCAGCTGCCAATACAGCACAAGGACCTTCACTAAGTGACTGAAGGTAAGCATAATCTGATTTAGCATATTGATTTTTTTTAAACTTATCTTTAATTAAAATGTAAGTACCACATGTTGATTCCATGTCCCAAATGTAGCATCTGTACTGAAATATGCTAACAACAATCCAAAGCATACACAGAAATTTTTACTAAAATTATACTTGTGAAAAATTATACAGAAGCTTTGGTTTGGGTAACCTGGAGGCCAAGACAGCATTGGAAGACATCCTGTTACCCACTCCCGTATCTCCCTTTTTACGGTTTAAAGTTAAGGGGGAAGAACAAAAGCACTGGAAACTACCGTGACACTAATTTTAGCACACCAAAGAACCGTATCGCATGCTGGAACCTAAACACGGTTTTCCAACAGAATTTAACTCTCCTCCACATAGGTTACTGGCGCACCTCAGTTTCACAGTTACTCTCCAAAGAATTATTTGCATCACTTGTTAGTGCCATACCAGACAGGTGGTTACAATATTCCTTCTACCATGTAAGAGGATGCGGGAGAATTTTAACTTTGGTTTTGATTTCACCTGCACATCCATTGAGGCAAATTTAATAACTTGAGTAAAAAAAAACCCATTAATTGCAAATTCGAAACAGCTAAGCTTGCCCAATATTATATTGGCAAGGGCATCTATTCATTCTTACTATTTTTTAAATGAAACAGTGCATCTTTAGAAATGGAAACTTTTCTGAGAAAAAAAATAAAAAACAGGAAGAAGATTTTGCTCTTCATCTCTGGGTAAATTGTTATATTTTTTTTATTCTGCTCACCCTCAGAGGAGTTCAGAACAAAGTACACTCCTTTCTCTTCTTTCAGTCACTGGCCTAGTCACCTGTGTCTAAGTATTATGAAAACTGTTTGTTTGTGGCCACAAATATCTTAACGTCTAAGCAGGTGGGCTAATCACTTTTATGGAATTACTAGGAGTAAGGCCCGTTGTACAACAAGCTCTAGAAGGAAGCTCAAGGTGAGTGTCCTGGCTGTGGCTGGTGGGGCGGCAGAGGGAAGGGAAAAATAGAGGGAGGCGAGCCATTTTTATTTCCTCCTGCTTAGCTATAAGTCAGGGCTGCCTCAAGTCAGTTTGCTGCCCCAAGTGGGTAGTATGGGAGGACAGCCTCATGGTAACAGGTATGATTCCCTCCATCCCTGTCTTATGTTGATTTGGGGTTATGCAGTGGCAGCTAAGGTAGAAAAGCACCTCCTCCTATGCCATGTCTTCTGGGTTCCAAGAGTCTGGAAAACAGTTCAATAGCCAGTTACAGGGTTACCAACTCTGGGTTGGGAAATACCTGTAGATTTGAGGGGTAGAGCCTGGGGAGGGCAGGGTTTGGGGTGCGGAGGGACCTCAGCAGGGTATAATTCCATAGAGTCCATTGCCCAAAGCAGCCATTTTCTCCAGGAGAATTGATCTTGGAGATCTCCAGGTGCTACCTGGAGGCTGGCAATAATAAGGGGAGGGCAAGACCTGTAGATTAGGGGGACAGAGCCTGGGGAGGGCAGGGTTTGGGGTGCGGAGGGACCAGTGCCCAAAGCAGCCATTGTAATAGCTGGGAGATTTTCTGTAGGGGAAATGATGTGCTGTGGCTGGGGAACATGATGGTTTCTGGGAGATCTCCAGGCCCCACAGGGAGATTGGCAACTCCAGTGACCATTTAAGGGAAGATTGGGATATGTATTTTACCTCAGGATACATTCAATGTCTCCCAACAGCAACAACAAACTGTTCAGAATGTTAGAGGCAAAGGTCAATCAGGCCGCATATGCAAATAGCCTCTGTATTCTGACTGCCTATTGGGGGTAGAGGAACAGCAAACTATTTAGAATATTGGAGGTGAGACTCAGGCAACGCAGCCAGTGGATAGGGACAGCTTCTGAGTGACAGATCAGGGAGCCAACTGATTCGGGAGCATATGGAATGTTCAGGAGAGTCCATGACCAAAACAGAATGATTATATAGAGAGATTTGCCAACTCAGTTTTATTGATGTTTACTCACCAACAAGTCTGCTAAATTGAACAGGACCTGCAGTGCAATCCTATGCAGAGTTACTCCATTCTAAACCTATTAATTTCAAAGGGCTTAGACTGGATTAATTCTACATAGGATTGTACAATTAGTCTCAGATAAAGAAGCATATACTTTTAGCCTTAATGGTCTTTTGGGTGAGATAAGAAGCCACTACACCAAGCTCCCTGATCATTTTTGTTCCACTTCTAAGGGCATGATCTCTGACTTCAACTCAAAGTAGATACAGCCCCTGACAAGCCTTCTCTACTTTTAAATAAGCATAATACAGACTCAAAGAGGAATTAAACTCTGCAAAAAAAACCGGGATAAATTTCTTTCAATTACAAAAACTTCAACTGATACGGACCCAAAGCTGGGCATACACATTTCAGCTAACTTGACCTCTGCCTTTAGACAAGTACAGAAGTCATTTTAAAAAAGATATCCAATAACAAAACAAAAGAAACATACACTTTAAACAATACACATTCGTAGAAGCTCACAGTTTTATGCCACAGAGAAACATTAAAGGCTCATTATTATTTCTGAAAAAAATAAAGATTACTTTTACTCTCTGGATTTATTTATTCTAGTCAATGTACAATTTGATACAAAGGTGTGATTAAAACTAATAGAACAAGTAACTCTGCAGACAAAAACGTTGAATCTGAAGGGGCATTTATTAATGTATAAGCCATATTAATAGCCTTGATATGAAACTGCTATTACTCAGTTTGCTATTAATTGTTTTGCTTGAGCAGAGGCCTTTCCTTAATCTCCAGGTAAGACCACATACCACAGCACAAGGCTTTTATGTGAAAGAGTACAACATCTTGCCAGGATCAAGCCCCAACTTCTCTCATGTTCTAGAGATCAAGGCTACTCTGCCATCAAGAAGAAAATCAGGTGTTTAAACCAGACCTTGCAGATGGAAAGAGAAACAAAGGGATTCCTCGATTGTTCTATACTCATCTGAAAAGTGAGAACAAGAGGGATCTTTTGAACAGTGTAAATTCTTTGCCTGAAATCACAAGTTATTGATGTAGAACTGATTTTCTTGTAGCTTAATGCTAGAGAGCTTTTAACACACTCACCTAATTTCTATTGGAAATAAGAAACATTTTTTCTCAAAGTTGAGTGTGGTTTGAAATAAGGTATTTTAATGGATTGATTAGCTCACTTCATTTACAGCCCACCATTCTCACTGAGACTCCAAACAGATTACATAACAGTCGCAAGGCAAAAGGAGCGAGATTACAGAATTTAGGAAATAATGCAAACAAAACAGTCTAAGGCAAAACATACCATCAACAATGTGGGGTGGGGATTACAAAGACACAAGGCTACAGAGGGAAAAGTAAGATTTTAGGCAGGAACATAGGCTACAGTCATATTCCCAAGACTCTAATCTGGGAGAACCAGGTTTGATTCCCCACTCCTCCACTTGCACCTGGCTGGATGACCTTGGGCAAGCCATGACCTTGGGCAAGCCAGCTGTTCTTGAAAAAGAGCAGTTTCTGTCAAGAGCTCTCTCAGCCCCACCTACCTCACAGGGTGTCTGTTGTGGGGAGGGGAAGGGAAAGGAGTTTGTAAGCCGCTCTGAGACTCCCTTGGGTAGTGAAGAGCGGGGTGTAAATCCAATCTCCTCTCCTTCTTCTACCTCACAGGCAATGTTCCCTCTAAGCTGTGGAGTCTTGTGAGCAAAAATTCTACTTTGTGAGCTCCTGGCCTTAAAGTTATGAGCAAACAATTTGGCAACTGAATAAATTAGTTTGCTCTGGAGCCATCCTTCCTGAGCTAAGACAAAAATGTGCGAGCTGGAGGCTCAAAAATTGTGAGCTAGCTCACACTAACTCATCTTAGAGGGAACACTGCTCACAGGGTGTCTGTTGTGGGGAGGGGAAGGGAAAGAAGTTTGTAAGCCGCTCTGAGACTCCCTTGGGTAGTGAAGGGCGGGGTAGAAATCCAATCTCTTCTTCTTCTTTTACCTCCCAGGGTGTCTGTGGTGGGGTGGGGAAGGGAAAGGAGTTTGTAAGACGCTCTGAGACTCCGAGTGAAGGGCGGGGTATAAATCCATTCTGTTCCTCCTCCTCCTCCTTCATTTCCAGGAGCACATCCTCCACTCACTTAAAAGGACCAACTCCTTTCAGCAGATCTGGGCACCTGAGAGGGGGGAAGGGGTTTGAGTGGTCTGTGGCTGAGGGCAGTCCCACACTGCCCCTTGTGAGCTCCTGGCGTTAAACTTATGAGCAAACAATTTGGCCACTGAATAAATTAGTTTGCTCTGGAGCCCTCCTTCCTGAGGTAAGACAAAAATGTGCGAGCTGGAAGCTCAAAAACTGTGAGCTAGCTCACACTCATCTTAGAGGGAACACTGCTCACAGGGTGTCTGTTGTGGGGAGGGGAGGGGAGGGGAAAGGAGTTTGTAAGCCGCTCTGAGACTCCTTTGGGTAGTGAAGGGCGGGGGATAAATCCAATCTCTTCTTCTTCTACCTCACAGGGTGTCTGTTGTGGGGAGGGGAAGGGAAAGGAGTTTGTAAGCCGCTCTGAGACTCCTTTGGGTAGTGGAGGGCGGGGTATAAATCCAATCTCTTCTCCCTTTAGGAAAGCACCTTCCCGGACGCTTCTTGATCCATTTATAAAAACACCCTCCTTGAGCATCTCCGTTGTGCACATTCTGCCCTAGTGGAAGCCTTCCCGAGTGACTTCCTCAGGTTGATAATATCACAAGGGGGGGGGGGGGAGAACACCCGTGCGGACCTCCAATCTTACCCACTTGCGGGGAGGCGCCGTCGGAAGGCTTCCGACGTTGCGTGACCCTGTCTAGGTATCCAAGGCAAACCCTGAGCAGCATGGAAAATCCGGAAACCCATGACCGTCGCGCCTGCCTTTCCCTCTGGCGCTTAAACGCAAGAGGAGGAGGAGGACCTCCGGGCACGCAAAAGGTGGGAGGGTCACAGAAAGCGGGAGACGACGCTTCGCCCTCCCCACCGATCCTCCCTCTAAGCCGTGGAGTCTTGTGAGCAAGAACTCCACTTTGTGAGCTGCTGCCATTAAAGCTGTGAGCGGGGGATTTGGCTACGGCATGAATTAGTCTGCTCTGGAGCCCTCCTTCCTGAGCCAAGGCAACAATCTGTGTGCTGGGGACTAAGAAACAGTGAGCTGGCTCACCCTGGCTCAGCTCAGAGGGAACACTGCGCCCCACTCCCCGCCCCACTGCGTAGAAGGCAAAACACCGGAAGGCGGCGGCAACTCTAGCGGAAAAAAAGTTTTTCAAAACTTCGATACTACTTTGCCAGGGGAATTGCGCGCTGGGGGGTGTCTGTAAGAAAAGACGACATTCGGGAAGGGGGGCGTTGGAGAGTCCAATGGCTCCCGCACGCACACCACCAGCGTTCCCTCTAAGCTGAGTTGGTGTGAGCCAGCTCGCAGTTTTTTAGCCTCCGGCTTGTCCGACCAGATACACAATGCAGGTTGCAGCAATACAAACATGTATTCATATCATAGCACCATATCCTGTCCAAACTCAGCCAAGCTTGGGCGACATAAAGTTCTACAAAAATGCAGTACAACATGTATTTTAATATGTCACAAGTTCTCAACCAGTGTTCCCTCTAAGCTGAGTTAGTGTGAGCCAGCTCGCAGTTTTTTAGCCTCCGGCCTGTCCGACCACATATACAATGCAGGTTGCAGCAATACAAACATGTATTCATAAGATAGCGCCATATCCTGTCCAAACTCAGCCAAGCTTGGGCGACATAAAGTTCTACAAAAATGCAGGACAACATCTATTTTAAAACGTCACACCTTCTTACCAGTGTTCCCTCTAAGCTGAGTTAGTGTGAGCCAGCTCGCAGCTTTTTAGCCTCCCGGCCTGCCTAACCAGATGTACAACGCAGGTTGCAGCAATACAAACATGTATTCATATGATAGCACCCATATCCTGTACAAACTCAGCCAACCTTGGGCGACATAAAGTTCAACAAAAAATGCAGGACAACATCCATTTTAACGTGTCACAAGTTCTCACCGGTGTGTGTCCCCTCTAAGCTGAGTTAGTGTGAGCCGGCTCGCAGTTTTTTAGCCTCCGCCATGTCCGACCAGATATACAGCAATACAAACATGTATTCATATGATAGCACCCATATCCTGTACAAACTCAGCCAACCTTGGGCGACATAAAGTTCAACAAAAAATGCAGGACAACATCCATTTTAACGTGTCACAAGTTCTCACCGGTGTGTGTCCCCTCTAAGCTGAGTTAGTGTGAGCCGGCTCGCAGTTTTTTAGCCTCCGCCATGTCCGACCAGATATACAGCAATACAAACATGTATTCATACGATAGCACCCATATCCTGTCCAAACTCAGCCAAGCTTGGGCGACATAAAGTGCTACAAAAATCCAGTGCAACATCTATTTTAACCTGTCACACGTTCTCACCGGTGTGTGTCCCCTCTAAGCTGAGTTAGTGTGAGCCGGCTCGCAGTTTTTTAGCCTCCGGCTCACCCATTTTGGCCTTGGCTCGGGAAGGAGGGCTCCAGCGCCAACCCATTTACGCAGGAGCCAACTTGCTCGCTCACGACGTTAGTGCCAGTAGTAGTTCGCCGCCAAGTGGGGTTTTTCTCACGAGACCCCACAGCTTCGAGGGAGCATTGCACACCACCAATGCGGAAATCCCCTTCCTCCGGCTCCTTCCACTGCCCCCTATATGTGGTGCTCCTTCCCGGGGGTGCCCAACTCGCGGGCTACCCGAAGGGCCGCCATAGGGGAAACCGGCCCTTTCCTAGCCGGCCGGCACTCACTCACCTTCGCCAGAAGGATCACGAGGAGGAGGAGGAGGAGGACGACCGGCAGTCCGTTCGCCATGGGCGCGCACCGAGCGAGCACCGGCCGGGACGCAAGAGCGGAAACTCGCCCAAGTGAAGAGCCTCCCAAACTCGTGACCAGGAAGGAGTGGCGGCGGAGGAGGAACCCGTCTTTACGCGGCCCCGATGATTCTTGAGCCTTTCGGGGGAAATTCCTGCACGGTTAAAGAGCCTGCGCCAGTTTGAGCCAAAAAGTGGGAGTTAACGGCGCTGACTCCAAAACCTGGGGGTGGCTTCCGACCGAATTGGAGAGGGGAGAGTCCAATGTTCCCTCTAAGCTGTGGAGTCTTGTGAGCAAAAATTCTATTTTGTGAGCTCCTGGCATCAAAGTTGTGAGCAAGTGATTTGGCTACTGTATAAATCAGTTTGCTCTGGAGCCCTCCTTCCTGAGCTAAGGCAAAAAGGTGTGAGCCGGAGGCTCAAAAACGGTGAGCTAGCTCACACTAACTCAGCTTAGAGGGAACACTGGCGGGAGACTCGCCCCTTTCTCTG